TGTCAGGAAGTTACCAACACCTGAGAAGAGGTTCAAGGTTTGAAACGGGGGTAGTCAACATTTTTATACCTACCGCCCACTTTTGTATCTCTGTTAGTAGTAAAATTTTCTAACCGCCCACCGGTTCCACAGTAATGGTGATTTATAAAGTAGGGAAATCAATTAAACTTTAAAAAGGAAAGTGCTTCAATATCGGACAAAACCCATACCGCCCACCATGAAAGCTGGAACGCCCACTAGTGGGCGGTAGGGACCAGGCTGACTACCACTGGTTTAAAAGGATCCTGACAGACTTGAACATTGGATCCTATTCAACAAAATATTCAGGGGTAAGAAATATAAGATTCTATACTTGGGAAACTGAGATGTGCAGGTACAAAGCAGGTAGTACATGGATTGGTAGTAATTACTTGTGAAAAGGATCTGTGCATTTTGGTAGATCATGGACTAAGCATGACGTGTGCCAGAGCTGCCATATGCTGTTGAACGCCCTTAACAAAGGCATGATGTTGAGATGTTAACATTGTGGAAAGTGGTATTCTTCATTTTGTTGCGCTGGTCAAGTCACACTTGGAATGCTTATTCAGTTTTTGGTTGCCAAAGGCAGGAAGGATGCTGAGAAAATGGAAAGAGTGCAGACAAGCGTGGAGCTTGGAGATTAAATCCTATGAAGAGTGATTAAAGGAACCAATTAGGTTTAAAGAAGAAAAAAAAGAAAGACTTGGAGGATAAATGAGAATAGTTTCCCAATACTTGAAGGGCTATCACAGGGCACTATTCTCCATAACGTGCATGCATCGTATTAAAAACAATGAATAGAAATCCCCAAAGTGATTTTTCAAGAGGCAACTAGACTTTCTGTTTATTCTTTGAAGACGTTTTGCTTCTCATCCAAGAAGCTTCTTCAGTTCTTGTCTATGGAGATTTTCAGTCATCCAGGTCATGGTTGTCCCAAAAGTGCTTTTCTCCATAGTGAGGGGAGGAGTATCCAGGATGGGTTGACCTTGTCCTCTCATTGATTGGGCTGAGTCAGATAAGCTCTTTGGGCCATGCCCCTGGCCACCAGGTACCACCCAGTTATCGACTCAGCCCCTCAATGGATGGCT